CGTTTTTGGGGGGGGGGGGGCAAAGGGTCAAAGGGTTTGGGCACCCCCGGTTTGGGGCCCCCCCCCCCCCCCCCCCCCCCCCCCCGATGTTCTTGAACTTTCTTCATTCATTCCTTCCTGAAGGCCCTATCCCCCAGGAGATTGGGAACCTCTCCCTGCTGGAGAAGCTCTTCCTAGGCCAAAACCGCCTCACGGGTGAGGTACAATAGCCCCCCCGAATACACGAGACTAACCTTGCTGTTTGTCTTCTCAGGATTTTGTTTTTTAGCGGTCGGTGCTAGATACGTGACACGTTTGTTTCGGGCTCTAGTTTCACTTGGGACCCAAACGGGTTGCAGCACTGGTTTACTCCTGTCGTAGCGTAACTTTGAAGTTTTCGCTCGTAGTTGCAGGTGCCTCTCTGTATTTGTCGGTGCACATGTTGCTAGTGTGCCTCGGGAATCGGTTTGTCTTCAGGAATGTCACTGGTTTCGCGAGCGGCGACAATTTTGGTGGACGTAACTTGCCTTCGTTGGTTTGCATGCCTGGTATTTGTTTTAGGCCAGCTAGCCAAGGATGTTCGTGCCGTGTGCCTTGAATAGAAGGGTACGGGCCGGTAGTGGAGTGAGGTCGAACGGGTTTTGTAACCGCTTAAGAGACAACAGCGGCACACCATCATAATGTACGTTATTTTCACTCTTTGCATCTGCAACGAGTTCTTGTTCGCCTTCGCGCTGCCCTTCTGCGGCTGTTAAGTATTGTATTTCCGGGGAAACTTGTTTGATCCCGGTGATCTTTGTGCTTTACTGGACTCCCGTAGGCCAGGTGTCGCACCAAGCAGATGTCCGCCATGAAAGGTGTAACAAAGATCACGCCATGCTTTCATGAAACACGTTCACCTGTGCGCCGTATTTGCGAACCATAGATGGGTGCGGTTATTGTTGCAGCATGTGATCGGGTTCTAGCGCGACCCCTCCAGTTGCGAGTGTACCCAGATGTAGGTGCGGATGTGTCCTTGTGCGTCTGGTACATGACTATACCGATGGGCCACCTCTTGAAAGTAATACTTTTGTTGTCCGGATTATCGGCAGGCCCTATTCCGAAGGGTATTGGGAGGCTCACACGCCTGCGGCTTGTCTTCCTGAACGACAACCACCTCACAGGTGAGCAAGAGGAGGCCACAACGACGGGAATATCTCGTGTCCGCAACCCCCCCCCCCCCCCCACCTGAATCTACAGAAGCCGATGAAGATCGCAAACGGGAGGGTGTGTCGTCTGCTTGGCGATCCTTGAAGCGGCGTTGGAGTAGGAAGCCGGAACCTATACCTCAAGAGAGACTCTACACGCTAGAGTTCAGCACTACTCTGATAATCGTTAAGAAAC